AAAGCCTAACTTTTCACTTAATTATTCAGCAAATATATTTAGTATTTGTATAGAATTATTTTTGGAATGGTAAACATCTTTCCTACCTCCAGTGCTGGCGCAAAAATCCTTCTAATTAGGTTAATAAAAGAGTCTTAGAGCCCAGGATGCTAAATCAAGAGATGGCTCCCAGCAACTCCATGTGGTGTAAGAAGACAATAGAGTACAAAGTGAGGGGTGGGACTTACTGTCAGAGTTGGCAGAGGGTTGTATTAAAGCCCCACTGATTCCAGTTGCTCTCCTCCCTGTTCTTTTTAGAAAAGGCATGAAAAAACCCCTGTGTGTTGGCATTGTTAAAAAACAAGGAAAAAACAGCAGAGATGCTCAAGGAAAAAGATATGAAGTTTAAGTTCAGGGATACCAAGTTGTGGGCTATTTTCTGTCACTGAGAATCCTGAAGTGAATGACTGCTTTAAAATACCCATTTTATAATGTTAGAATAGACTCTAAATTAGGCCAAGAACAACCACAACAATAACTTAAGGAAAAAAATATAGCTAAAGAAGCCATTAAACTCATGGGTGAGAAAGTTTGGAGGTCATTGAATAGATCTTAGGCATTAAGTCAATATATTCTATGAATGATTTACCAAACAAGAAAACAGCACAATAAAAATATCAGATTCAACATCATGGAAGATTAGGGATTATAAATGTGGAATTAAGTGAAAAACTGTTTAAAAAGCTAAGGTTGATATTTCCCTAAAACAGACAATAGAAGTACAACATAATTTTCTGTATTAGGCACTCTGCTAATATTAGATTTTTCCGAAAATTAAACTCCATGTTAGTTTGCTGTAAAATTAGGAAGGATCTTATCAATTATCAAAGACATATTAATCTATGGTCAGTATAATACTATGCCAGTATAGTATTAGGGCCAGTATAGTATAATACTGACCATAGATTAATATTGCTTTGATGATAGTACAAATTGATCATTAGTAGCTGAGTAACCAGAATACATTTTCCCCCAACCATAATGTTCAAGGAATGAGCCAAAGCAGAAATAGCTCTAAAAGTGATCTGTTTTATCTATTCTAACCAGTTTTATCACTTTTGCATAAGTGATAAGTACCTTAAAATGAACACAGAATATGATGTGCCATCTCTCAAAGAATCATTTTTATAATATTATTAATTGGTTACTTGGGAAAATGACTGGTACAAGATAACAATGATGCTGCATACTTTAAATTCTTTGTTCTATTCCATGTTATCAGAAAGGAATATCTTTCTTATTTCTTTAAGAGAATTTATAAATTTTTGTTGTAAGTAGACTTATGGAAGAGCTATAGAAGAAAGACTCTTAACATAGTACCTGGTATATAGTAAATAAACAATAAAAAATGTCAAATATATGAATATGAATAAATGAATACATGCTGAGAACTAATTAGACTACACATTGATACAGCAAACCAAAAGTACGGTATAAAGGTTTAGTTTACATTTTAGTAAGCTACATATAGATATTGAAATGTTAGAGAATCCGTGACTAAGAAAGTTAAAGGATTTGTAGCTCTGAACTTAATCCACGAGTTTAATAACTGTCATCCTTACTTTCAAGTATTCTGCAATTTCTCAGAAATTCTGTGAAATAACTCAGAAGGTTCATTTTATTGGCATACTTTGTGCTTGTAATAGAAACACATGCATATAAAATTGTCATATTACATTCCTGAGGTAAGAACCTTCTAGGAGTCCTCAAGTATGAGTTTTAAATATTAAAATACTTTTTTATGACAAGGTGTCACTTTTGCACTTAAAATACATAGTAATAAGCACTGTTTTCTTATGAATGACACAATAAGAGTATTCTTCCATTAAAGGAAAAGTTTTAGAATAAAATAGATTGAGCTATTAAAGCCCAATTAACATGTGCCTATGTCCTAACATAAGAAACACCAGAAGAAAGCAGCTAATGAGAACACTGGAAAAAATAAGGAAGATAGTTTAGTAGAAGGGTTAACGTTTTATAACTTAAAGCCAAAAGCTACAGGTAAACTCTGACCATCAGACACAGTGGTTCTGAAGCCAATCTCTGAGTTCTACATTCTAGCTCTTAGAGGCTAGACTTGCTACGATTTTTAGCTAGCTGTCTCTCGCTTAGCTGTTTTCAGCACAGAGCTTTGGGATAAGATGACATTATTGGAAGACCTTCATAAAGAAGGGTGGGCAAAAGTCACATGGCACCAAGACATGAGGCAGGTAGGCAAGGAGCTTCTGATCAGTGAGTGTGCGGGTGTGTATAAGAGGGTGTAATTGTGCATGAACAGGCACTATCATTTCTTGCTTCTCACACTTCTCCTCCTATTGTTTTTGAAAAGGTCAACAGGTAATTGCTGCATTTTCTAGGGTGATATATGCTGGGGTTGGGGCTGGGTTCTCAGGTGGTAAGTTATCTCACAAGACTGTTGCTTATATTATAAACTATGATCATATCAAAAAAATTTCTGAGGAAAAACTAACTGAAAACCAACTAAACCATACCTTACCTCCCTACTCACACTGAGTGACAAGAAAAAGATACATGAAGAAAACAAAGTCATATGAGAATTAATTTTTAAAACCTTAACTTTGAACAGAAATTCTGTAGAATAAGGAGAGAGGGTAGCTTTTTGCTTTCACCATTGTTTTATTTATTTATTTTATTTATTTTTTTAAATTTTTTTTTCAACGTTTATTTATTTTTGGGACAGAGAGAGACAGAGCATGAACGGGGGAGGGGCAGAGAGAGAGGGAGACACAGAATCGGAAACAGGCTCCAGGCTCTGAGCCATCAGCCCAGAGCCCGACGCGGGGCTCGAACTCACGGAGCGCGAGATCGTGACCTGGCTGAAGTCGGACGCTTAACCGACTGCGCCACCCAGGCGCCCCAATTTATTTAGCAATAAGAAAGTTATTAGTTTTCAATTAAAACAATAAAAGAAAAACATGAGGAAATTTAAAAACTTCCAAGCTATGTTTTATGGAACAATCCTGTTATGTATTAATCTACCATCTTCTAGTAGTTGGTGACCATATGAGGTAGATTTCATATGTAGAGAGGAAAAAGGGGAAGCATTGATGATCTTCAGCTTTCTCTGGCAAGGTAAAAGGAGACTGAACTTAGGACAGGTTCTCATGAAATAAAATAGAAAATTATTCCACTGAGAAACTGACAATATGCTAATAATGACCTGAAGAAACGTGGTTTGCTTTTCTGATATGTGAAAACATTAGCAAGTAAAACAGAGGCTGAACCTAATCAAGTTTCTTGGTAAAACAAAGTGTAAATCATAACTTGTCCTAACTATACTGGTGAGGGCTCGTCATCCTTTTATGTGAACTTCAACTCTTATCTGGCCACATCTTCTACTGGTGTGACTCTGTAGCATCTAGAATTCATTCTTTTGCCATTTAAATCTGGCTTCATTGCTTATTAACATTCCTGAGTTTATTTTCCTGGCCAATGCAGGGCTATTGGTTATTCATTCAAGTACAAGTTGCAATTTCGACACATTTTACAAATGAATCAGGATGAAGCTAGGCAGCTTCATCTACCAAGGGGGCCACCCTTCTTTCCACAGACAGCAGATTTTGGTAGGAAAAACAATTGCCTAGGGGTGCTGGAAGATCTGGTTTCCAACAATGAACTGGTTATCTCTCATGTCATTTTCTCATGGCTTTCGTCTTTGAAATGCAACTAAATCAGGAAGAGTATGGTTTCAGTAGGAGAGAAGGTGACTATAAATGAGCCATACTAAAAAGCAGTAATTACAGTTATTTGCATCCCAGCTTTGTGATGTCCAGCATGAAGACAGTATTCTGAACATGCAGTCTTGTCCTTCTCTATAAAATACCCAAATGAATTTTACAATGGTTTTATTCATGTCTTAAGTCACATGATGGATAGAACATTAACTTTAGCTTTAACTGTTATATACTAAAATGGAAAGGCATTGGTGACAAAAGAGGTTAGCTATTATTTATTCATTCACTTATTCATTCACTCATCCAATAGTGTCTAGCCTACCATGGCCATATATCATTTTAGGCACTGGGTGTACAAAACAGGAATAAAATCCCTGCTCTTCACAAACTTATATTCTGCTAGGCAGAGATGGAAAATAAATCAGTGAACAATATTTGGTATTGTACTCATAGTGATAAAGCTGTGAAGAATATAAAATGGGGTAACATAGCAGAGAAAGAATGGTGGTGGCTATGGTAGTGAAGCGGCATCTGGGTCAGACTGGGTTGTCAGGGGAGGACTCTGAGGGGAAAATATTTGAAATGAGACCTTATTGGCAAGGTGTATAAATACATATTTCAGTAAACATATAGAAGGCTGTTGCTATTTGGAATTCTCAAATGTCCAAAGTCAAAAATGAAAGGAGTAGTGAGTGAGTGATAAGAATGTAAAGTGAGGGACATTTCTATTTTAGCTCCTAGGATACAGTTAATATATTATGTTGAAATGTACAAAATTGCTGCTATTTCATCATTTTGACCTATAAAAACAGCAATTCATATGATTCAACTCAATAGCTAGAACTGAACAAAGTTAGGGCATGTAGTCAGGTAAATGTTATTTATTGAGGTTTTCCAGGATTAATTCACTATTTAAGTATTACAATTGCTCTCACTGCCCAAATCCAAATATGCATAAAACCTACATAAATTATATAGTTATAAAAACTTTATTGGAAGACCTACAGTGTGTCAGATATGGAAACTAAGTGCTTTCTGGTATTACCTCATTTGACTCTTACCTAACTTCCAGTACAGCTATCACCTGATGTAACAATGAAGACATTGAGGACCAGAGGTGTTAAATAGCTTCATCAATCATACCGCTTGCCAATGGAATACTACTTGGCAATGAGAAAGAATGAAATATGGCCATTTGTAGCAACGTGGATGGAACTGGAGAGTGTTATGCTAAGTGAAATAAGTCAGGCAGAGAAAGACAGATACCATATGTTTTCACTCATATGTGGATCCTGAGAAACTCAACAGAAGACCAGGGGGGAGGGGAAGGGGAAAAAAAGTTACAGAGAGGGAAGGAGGCAAACCATAAGGGACTCTTAAATA